AAAAAAGTCGAAGAAATTTTGAAAAGGGGAGTTTTAATGGCATATTAATGTAGAAATTCCCTCCACCCCCTAGAAGTGCTTATATTGAGTGGGGAAGAGGAAATTTCCATAGGGAGAATTCACACACCCTAGAAAGCCCGTGCAACGCAGATACATGCAGCTAGTTAAAAAAATAAAAATCAATATGCAAAAAGATTTTTTTTTCCATTCCATAAATGTTTTGGTTATATAGAGTATTTTTATAATCACAATTTTCTACCAATCACTATTCATCCATTTTTCCATGAGTCTGCTTTCTCTAGAATGTAGTACGGTTGATAAATTCATATCTTGAATAGATCCTTAATCTATACCATGTATGGATAAAACAATTGACCCTCGGCTTTAACCGAATGGGTTCGGGTTCGAATCCCGAGTATAAGCCATGGTATTATCTTCTTCGGGAAAGAAGTCGGTTTTTCGCCTGTAATGAATTTCCGTGTTGAAAGGAAAGCAGCACACCCCTTATCGTTATATGCTGGGGACACCATCTGTAATAAATGTGTATATTCTTCTGTTGTATTGTATGTTTTCTGTTCTTCACTTGTATTTCATGTGTTCCCAGGATAAAAAACACACGACAACAACAATAAAACAATACAACTTGGTTCCATAATATTTAATAGTATTTACAGCAACTTCAAATATTTAACCATATTAATTAAATTTATGCATGATAAAGATTCTATACATTATTCTCATGGCGAGAAATTTCTTCAAATTCATGCAATAAAAAAGTCTTGAATTTATTGACAAGCCAGATGTTCAAAATTAGAATGGATATTACAATATTATCAAGTAACTATAAATACATTTATATCAGTGGTCAAAAACTCTATAACGCAACAATTTAATAATGCTATTTATATATTAGTGAAGCTATGAAACTTAAATTTTTTTCACTTAAAACATACATCGGATTTATCTCTAAGAATTAAAGTATGAAGTTTTTTCCTTTAAACTATGGATAAAAGGGAATGAAAATGTATTTTTAGTTACTTATTAACGGTTAAATTAAAAGTTTCTTAAGTACTTAAAGTGGATTTAAGTGCTATCCATTGTTGTTATAGTGATAATTATCTTGAAATAGCTATTGTGCATCTGTTTTTGATTAAGTATGTGGAACCACAATTTTTTGGGACAGAGAAACGCTGATCTTCTACGAGCTCACGTGTTTGTGTGATATTTCAGAACTAATGATCCGATTAATTACAACCTTTTTTTTCTTTTGGCCGAAAGACACCTTAAGTAATTAGCTAGCAATCAAATCGATAGTTAATCTTCACTGTATAATCAGTGTCAAAGAAATACAAGAAAACTTTTTCACGTCCGTAAGACCTAATACACTCTGAGAGTTTTCGAAAGTATAATACTAAGATAGACAAGATGTAACAAAGCAAAATTCATTTGAGATAAAACTTTATACCGATGAAATTATTAAAAATATAGCCTTCAGAGAGGGAATAAAGTCGAATAAATCAGCAGAACTTACCGTAGATCATGTTCACACATTGCTCTTCTGTAGCAGTGGGTAGAACAGGAACCACCTTCTGTTCTAAGGTAGCAGCAAGGAATGCATGCCGTGCAGTTGTACTAAAATCATCGATCATTGAAGTGGTATGGATAACTGGAGAATGAAGTGCCAGCTCAGATATTATCCTCGTCACTTTATCGCGGTTAAAAATTACTAGATACGTTGCTTACAGGCCTCGTGTAGCTTTGTATTGCGATGTTCATTCGTAGTCAATCAATCATTGACAAAAGTATTCCATGGGGGAGAGGTAGAATGAACAGGTAGGTCAAAGCGGCAACGCAATCTGGCGGACGAAGAAAAAATCTTGAATATTGCGTGAAACATGTGTTCATGCATTGTCCTGTTTGAACAGCGATACTCAACTTGTGGCCCAGTTAGTCCATTTTACACTAGAAATTCAATTATTTAAGGACAATTTATTAAAATTGTTGTGTAAAATTCTATCAATCACTCAATTAAATCTATAATTTTTGCTGTCGGTGTCTTACGGGAACGATCTGCAAGATTTTTTTCCCTACATGGTTTGTAATAACAAATATTAATCAAGTAACAAGAATACATTCACTGTATTCAACTGAGCTAGAGCCATTTTATGGCTGAAACTGAAGTTAAATTATCCTCCATGACTCCCAAGCGAAAAATATCAGAAGAAAATAAATTGTTTTAAAGTGATTGGGATGATGACTATTTTGTAATGAAAAACAAACATCGATCAACAACTTGTTTGATTTATAGTGAAAGTGGTACACTTAAAGGTGTTTTAAAGTGATTGGGATGTTGACAATTTTGTAGTAAAAAACAAACTTAGATCAATAACTTGTTTGATTTGTCGTGAAAGTGGTACACTTAAAATATATAATATTGCTTGTTATTTTACTACTGATCGCAAATAGGTTAATAAATATATTAATGTGATTATGATTTATATTTGTGTTAATGCATTATGAAAAAATGAGAGATTAACCAGCATATATAATTCACTTTAACTATTCCAGTATCAGAAGAAAAACAATTATGATGGATTTATAAAAACTCATAACCCGAATCTATAAAAAAAATTATTATTGTTTTCTTATGCTTTTTTTTTCTCTAGCCCAATTCAATGTCCTGTGTTTCCTTGATTTTATAGTGTTTTTCCCATCAATCTTTATGCTGCGACCCACGTAAAATACTAATTGTCATATGTGTATGGCCAGGCGAGAAAAAAGGTTAAGCACTCCTATATTAGAATGTAACCACATACAAGCTATAAAGGTCAGAGAGAACAGCGGAGTTTTCAAAACTTCAGACCTACTGCGCTAGCTAGTCATGGTACATGAGTAGCTGGTCATTGTACTGCTAGTAGGTGCGGAAATGTAATCCATGGTCATCTCAAACCATAATAAGGTTCATAAGGAGTACGGCGATGTACCCCGTACTGAATTTTACGTCGTTATGAATATACATAGGAATCAGTCGAGCAACCTTTCTAAAAGGTGCATCTCGTCGCCATCATCGTAGAAGAGAAAAACAGGCAGAAACATGACTAGTTTCCTGATATGGCAGAGGGGTACATCACTGTCTTGCGGAGTTATCGTGTTAGGTGGTATTACGCGTCTAGAGCATTCAATTACGTCAGCCACTCGTTCCATCTTGTATCCTCTAATTAAATATTCACTTCACAATTGCTTGGTTAAGTTCGACACGACCACTTATTTCTTGAAAGTGTAATATGTATTCTTCAATTCAAGGCCGCAATTTTTTCTTCGGTACGAGCCCAGAAACCTTCTTGAATGACACTGGTATTCTTTTTCGAGGCCTACTGAAGCTGCTTCATAAAAGCAATCGCATGAAAAAGCAAGTATAAATTGTTTTTGTTACCGATGGTAGCAACGTTTGCGTCAGAATTTTCCATAAAGGTATTAAAACTGAACATCACCTATTCAGGATTCACCATGATCTTACTATTTTTATTGCCGTTCTTTAAGTATTATCCATACTATAAAACTGACTACGCAACGTAAAGGTGTTTCTAAATATTTGATCTCTTCGGATTCTGTTTCTTTTTTAGAAATTTTGCAAAAAATGTCACCTTGCAATACTATTCTTGTAGAAATTTTCAAAAACCTTAATATTCATGTAGAACTCAGATAGTGTCTAGGGCAGGGTTAGGCAACCTTTTAGCTGTGGAGTGCCAAACCAATCTACCAGTATGGCTCAGCGTGCCGCATAGCAGGACATTTTCGAAAAAAAAATTCGATTCGAACAATAATGAATGCAGATTTTCAAAATACAGGTCAATTATATAGATTTACTGTTTAATATACGTTAGTTTTACATAATTCAAAGGTATTTCTTAATATAAACAGCATAGAATATAACTAATTCTGCAATAAAAGAATTAAATTGCATTTATATTACGAATTTTTAAACATATTTATTAAAATAAGAAATAGACAATGTAAGATATAAATATTTCCCTTCATATTACAATTAAATAAAAATATAAATAAATATATTAATGCGAACTTAGTGCTAGCACCGCTCTAGTTTCATACCGCAAAATCAGGAGTATAATGTTTGTCTTTCAGTTAGATAGCAGAGTACATGCAATTTTCTGTTTTCAAACAGTCCAATCTTCCCTGTAATAACATTTAATAATTTACAAAATAGTTGTAAATTTATCTTTAGAGTTGTCTTTCAGATTGTTTCTTAATTTCGTAAATGCCCATAATTCTGAAGATGTTTGTTAAATAAAGTGCATATTTTACAAATTTATTTAATTCCATCCTTTCAAAAATTGACAAATTTGTAGTGTAGCTCAAAATTCCATTAAAAATTGTACAGCATACCACATGTAGCTCGCGTCCCATAGGTTGTCAACCCCTGATCTAGCGTATTTTACTTTGATTTGAGGCCCCACTGGAATTTTCAGAAATAAAATGCTTGATTCGTTTGGTACTATAGCAAAGAAGCGTGGAAATAATTTCTCAGTCAATATTCAAAAATAATTTCACAATAAAAAAAATTGAGCAAAAATCTGTCACTCTTTGGAGCAATATGTACTCTCAACTTTACTGGCAAAGAAATTTCTTCTAAACATGCCACGGGAATGCATTGCGGTCTTTCTTGTACAATTTTAAAATCACTCAATTTACAACATCTTATCCTTTTATCAATTCAACTCCTTCTATTAGCTCACTCTCTCCCTATATATATATATATATTTATCTATATATCTTGTTCAAATTTTCAATCGTTAATAAAATGCTTTCTGTTCATCTATTCAAGTTCAAAAACCTTTTTGTAAACTTGTAGTGGATGACACTGGGTGGTATAATACAGTTTTTCAAATACTAATTATTTAATTAAATAAAAAAATGAATAAATAGTAACAAACAAAAATAATAGTCCAACAGCATATATAGAAATTAAACTCGTTCATTGTGTCTATGTAGCGCAATAGATAGCGCGTTGGAATTCTAATCCAAAGGTCATGGATTCGAAATCCACCTGGGATGGCTTAATTTCTGAGACTGCGCGATTTATTTTTTACTATATACTATTTCATTAGAATAATTACTGCTGTTGTTGTTACTTATTAGCACCATACAGGTTGTTAGCATTGAGCACCATACAGGTGACAGTACAATTTTGCTCGGCTCCTCCCTAATTATGAGAGAGTCACTAACCACTATAACGAATGGGTGGCATTAGAATAATTAAATTTAATTAATGAATAAAAAGAAAAAAAAGTCCAACACACTATATAGAAAAGAAAATGAAAAATTGCGAGGAAAATCGCATTATATTTTGTCACTTAATATTTTGATTATATACCTATTCATATTAATTGTAGAGATTTAATAAAACATAACTAAAATAAAATTTTTCTTTTTTTTTTAACTAAGTAGGAATTGTCTTAATTTTTTTTTTTTTGTATTACTTGTTCAATGTTAAAAAAAAGGAACTATTAAGCTTGAAAGTTAAACAGCATGCTACTAAAATCAACTAACCTATTAATTATTTTCAGCTTGTTTCCAGTAAAGCTAAGTTCATATTATTTTGTAACTTCATTTATTTGATTTTATGATTCCATTGATTTGATTCAGTCATTTTTTTTCAGTGATTTGGTTATATAATTTTTCGGTGATTTTATTTGGTATTCTTTTTCTGTGATTTGATTTTATAATTCATTGTTTTGGTTATGTACATTCACTGTTTTGATTCTGTAACTTAATTGGTTTGTTTTGTAAATATCCTTCTCAACCCCTTACCGACTTGTCCCGAGCTGAACTCAGGCATGTGAAACGTACCCCGTACCCTCTTGAATCATACCAAGTGTAGCTCGAGTTCTGTGAAAATATACTCTGTGCAATCGGTCTTTCCGAATTATTTCACATGTACTTTTTTCGGTTTCGAATAAATGAAAAGTTCCATTCGGGGGAATTTTCTGCAAAAAGAGGACATCCTTCTCATGAGCAGGCCCCTTCACCCTTGTATGAAAGACACTCAACTACGATTTTTGAAAAATTCACATTATTTACAGAGTTACTACCAATTTAAATAATTATCGGCGTTTTTTTTCTTTAAATTTCTCCCCTCTGTTGTGTCGTAAAACATGGATAAACTCACTTCTAAATTATATATTTCAAAAATTCTAGTTGAACCTCTGTACAGAGGTTTGAGCTATATACAGGCAAAATATTATTATAATAGAAGCATTTTTCACTAAAGGAGAATATTTTGAAAATAGGTAATTCTATCTTCAATTTTTTAGTCAAAATATTGTACTTAAATATTTTTTTTTATTGTAATACTATTCTTAAAACAATTTTATATACATTTTTAATATAAGTGATACTACATATCATAAATATTATCCATTTACACGCTTTTGCAAAATCACGGTACCGAACGCAGGCGGATACCTTAAGGGACTCTTATGGCACATGATAAGCATTTTATCTGTGGTCAATATAGAAACAAAACCTCAAAACAGAATGCTTGTCTTCTTTTATACAGAACTTGTTGATGGCGCTATAATAATAAGCGATTAAATAAAACTCTTATAATTTGCATATCTATTCTCTAATTATATTCATATCTAATATTCTAGTCTTTTGCATATCTGATACTCTAATCATATATTTATAAATATATATAATATTTGAACGGTTTGCCTGCTTTGAAAATTTCTTGGGATTTTGATATTCCCTTCATGGCATTACATTTTAGATGCATGGCAGTGTTTTGAGAAAATAGTAGAAAATAGGTGCATTTGATGTTACGCATTTTATTGTTAATATTTACACATTTGTTAGTTGAATTATTCATTGCCTTTTGCACACACACAATGCACATTTCCTTTTTAATAAAATTCATTGCATTATTTAAGGTCTGGGTAATTAATGCATGGCTTAATTAAATATATGAATATTTCTTCTTCTTTTAATATTCTATTTGAACATTAATAATTGGGTTATTTTCTCGTGGTATGATGGTTATGAAGCACATTTGAATTTTTTTTTCTTTTCTCAATATCTTTCATTCTCCATTTTTTAGATAATTAAATTTTTTGCTTTAAATTCTTACTAAGTTTTCTTTTAAATATTTTGAAATTATCCCTTTCCTCAAACAAAAAATCAAGTAAGAAATTAACGTTACTTTGAAATAAGAAAATCAAATTAAGTGCTCAAAGATATTGGGCTCAAAGTAACAGATTGCACTTCTTATACAGCAACCTCAGTAAAGACGAATATCAAGACCGACCAATTAGTTCATTCAAGAGATTAACTTTTTTATCCTTGCGAAACTTTGGTTAAAACCTTTGTAGATACAACTGGAGCTGAGTCTGAAGAAAGAAATCGCCAAATATTTACTTTCTTGAGATCTTTAAGACACTGCTCTAAAAGTTTTTTTTCTTTCTTTCGCAGCTTAAGCGTAGTTCAGTCTAAAATACTCTACACTACTGAATGACTCGATGAAAGAATACTATTTGCCGAGGGAGGAATTATTATTTTCTTAAATGTTCGTTTCTTGTTCTGATTTTCAGTTCTAAATTGTATTTATCTGTGATTTTAAGAATTTTTTGCTTTAGAGAAATCTTGCCTTCTAAGTTTAAGTACTTTTGATAACGGATGTTTTTTTTTTTTTAATTTTTGTTGATAATGTTTGTAAATTTCGAACACGATAGGAAACTGTGTTATGTTATTTAATAAAGACACAAAATATCTGAAGATAATTTTCATTCTATATATAAGTTTGTACGCTTCTCACTTTTATTGACCACATATGGCTAGTTTTTTAAACATTTTATTAGGTATATAGTTTTTATTTTTCTGCTAAAATACGAGCAAAATAGCTCATGGTGGCCTAAATAACGTGATTGGAAATGACACAGTTTTTAAAATATATCATCTAATAGCTTATACATTTTGAAATGAAGCAAAATTACTAAAAATGAATGTTTTTTTTTGTCTGCTTTGTATTTTTCTTCCACTTGGGACCTATCAAATATTTTGGAACTTTGTACATAAAGCTTAAATATTTTTCTCAAAAACAATATTCTCAGAAATATTCTTAAAAAGAGTTTCTTTGTATAAAAGGTGCAACTGAAAATGTACAAAATGTCTCAAGTTCTGGTTTTGAATTTGCACTTAAGCGCAAAAAAAAATTGATGGACAATACTAAAACACGAAAATTTCAGAGCAAGTTAAACATATAAATTAAAAATAAAAAAAAACATTTAGTTAGTTGTTTACTACGTTATATCTTCTATAAAGAACATAAGTTAATAATCAACACAGTAATGTAACGAATGCCCGTTATATATCTGATGTATTCCGGTATTTGATGTATTTTCTTGTATATTAGTTGCTTAAACTAAATAAATGCATACTAAATTGAAGATATATTTAAATTTATATTATTCTCTTTGAATCTTCTTAGAAGCTAAGATCTCCTGTGTGCGTCTCTTAAAGTATACGTCAGTCAGTCGAACACCTTTTGAGTTTCACCTAAGATAAGTAGGGGCTTAGAGATGGCAGATAATACTTCACAAAAATAGGTGCTCATACTGGCCGAAATCAAGGCAGTGTAAATAAGAAATTTATAACTAAAGAAGGGACAGATCTCAGCCAAATGGATGGATTGCACGAGTTTTAAGATATCATCGAAATCGATTACAGACGTGCTGTGTACATGGTAGTAACAGATCAAACAGCACAAATATAGTTACAATAAATTTGTCATATAGTTGATAAAATTGCTTAGTATTTCCTTAACAGAGAATATGTTTCTTGAAAAACAACTTGGAATGAATTACGATCGCGTTGTTTTAGTATTTTCCCTCTTAAATAACTCTTATTTGATTTGTTTGTATATATTTATTTTTTTAGTCATTTTGTACGCTTTTTTTATGATTTTTTTTCTTACATTGTTATGTTTGGAATTTATTAAAATCAAATTAATTTAAGCTACATTCGACAATTACTTACAAACTTTAAAACGAATATTTGTTTGTCTAATTTCTTGTTTTATTTATTGTGAACTGTTACAAAATTATGCATATTAAATAGATCATTTCTTCAATCTTAAATATCAGTGAAAAAAATGTAACAATAGAATCAATTTCTAGAAAAAGATAATAAATTATACTGGAAAGCTCTAAAAATATTTAAATGACAAATTGGTCATAATTTTTTAAAAGTCAAATAGTAAGTTCCTTTTACGCCCTTTTTTTCAGAAAAAAAATCTTAAATAAATTGAAAGATTAAGCAAAAAATATGTCCTAAAAATATTAGAAAATTCGCCATTACCAAAAATATAGCCTAAAAGATATATATCATTGTTAAAAAAATATTAATTAAATAAAGTTGAAGTGGATTAATACTACACATTAGATTACATTGTTAAATGTCTAAAAGAACGAATAATCTAAAGGCATAGACCAAAAGACGCGTTCGTTTTACTATTGAAAAATAAAGGGTTAAAATTGCATGAAATACGATGTCACATGAAGGAAATAAAATATTTCGGAAAAATCCTATATATAAAAATAAATAAGTAAATAAAATAAAATAAAAAAATATATAATAAAATTCGAACCCTATATAGTAGGAGTCATCTAACTGGAATAAGTCTAATGGATAGAAGAATATGAGTCTTGCCCGAAATTCCAAAGTGACGGATACATATGTGTATAAAAGAAAATAAAATCCTCACCTCACTAAAGGATAAAGTGAGAAAAATGTAGCAAAAGGCTTTCATTCAGCACAAGAGGACAAAAGAGAGTATAATTTAAAGCACTCAATAAAAAAAGACCCATATACGATGAAAAGCCACCAATTTTTCAAAATGTGATAAGGTTGATAGCTTATAGATCAATTTATTACATGAAACGTCATTCTGGTGGCACAAGCTGATTTTATTCAGCGATATACGATCTAAAATGAGAAAAAGAGAATGAATGAATGAGTTCTAGAGAAATAACAAGGAGTCCGATTCTTTCGTATTATTA